TCAAGCATGGACTCAGGAATCTTTGAGTTCTCTCGACACATCAAATAACGAGCTGTGCACCCTGGAAGCCCCAATAAGGCCCGAACTCAAGCCGACACAGGTGAGTTCTAGGCACGGCGCCAGAACTCTATAATGAAACCACGAACAAAAATGGTACACGTGTCTTTATAAAGTGTCCGTCTAATTAAACACATACGTAATTAGTTTAAATTGAGCCAACGGCCAATTCGGCCGAGTTCGGCTGACTCCTTGACTTAATATAAAGCTTCATACGTGCTACAAAACCAGCCTGCACCTGTTCTGACAACCAGACTTACCTGTAAACTCCGTCTGTTAGGTTGGCGGGTTTCAGCTGTCAACCATACTGTTAATATCCTACTCTGATGCTGAGCTTCGCGTTTTTCTAACCCACGGCAGCCAAACAGAAAGCCGATAACTGCGTATGTGTGCTAAAGAGGTGAGAGGGGGAGGAGCCAGTGCGTCAGGTGTGCACGGTGGCCCCTCCCCCTTCCTCGCCGAGGCCCCACAGATTAAGAAAAAACAGTTTAAACATGTCTGTACCTTCCGGGTTCATGCACTCTTGTGCCATTTTTATTTCTCCTGAAAAATACCAAGACACTTACATAAAGCAGAGAGTACAGACTCAAACCTGAACACAGAATATTCTGAGCCAGTGAAGCAGGGTGGACTCAGGTAAAGAATTTGAGGAGAAATCTCTTTTGATGGGTAGTTTTTACCCATGATTCATAGATCAAATGGTCATTTTGCATCCAGAGCCTCTTGTTTTACTATAAAGTTTTACTTATTTCACACGTCCCTTGCATTTTTTTCACGTCTAGTTTTACTTCCTTTATGCATCTTTCCATTACTCTGTGTCACTTTGTGGTTATTTGTGCCTCTGTGCATCCCCGTTGTGAGGTTTCATTTTTTTATTGTAAGTATTTTGTATCTGTTTTGAGAATTTTCCATCTCTATGGAGATGTTTTGTATCATCTCTGTATTTTTATATCGTTTTAAATCACTTTGCATCAGTTTTGTTATTATTTTCTCTCTTTCTGTCTCATTGTGATATTTTTATCCTCGTGTCACTTTGTGATCATTTGGGCCTTTTTGTCTGCTCTGCCTTACTTTGTCTGCTTTTTGCATCTGTCTGCTCATTTTGCATGCAGTTGTGTAACCCAGCTTTTGTTGCTTTGCATTACTTTAGTTATTCTGCATCTTTTTTGGCTCGTTTATAGCTCTATGCAGTTTTTTGTGTCTCTAAGTAGCTCTTTGTAGCACTATAGTTAGCGTGGATAATTTTGTGGTCACTTTTGAGTGTCGTTGTGTTTGCATTGCATCTTTTTATCTGTAGCTATTTTGCATCTTTTTGCATTAATTGTATGCCAGAAAAGTCCCTTTAACCTTCTTAGAGCAGAGGCCCAACTAAAAGCAAGAAAACGTGGCCTTCTTTGTCCACACGGGAACCAGAAATCTTTGCTGGTTTAATATTAAAAGTCACTGATTGGCTGCCTTTACTGTTTAAAGGTTCCATCCAACTTCATCCAGCAGTTTCAGGATTGATTTATTTTCATTTACTGCATATACAAGGCTTTTATATTTTAAAGTAGTATTTTTGCTTCATTTATCAAAGTTAAACTTTTTTTAAAAATATATATGAATAAATTATCTCACAATTTAGTCAAGAAAATAACTGGCTAAAAAAAAAAAACAGATTTGGGCACTTTAGTTTTTATTATTTTGATATTTTAACATCTAAAACTTAACCGTAAATAAAAATGAACAATCTGGGCCTTTTCTGTGTTTCATATAAACGAATAAAAACTTTCTTTGTTTGTTTTTACCAGACACCAAAATGCTTTTTCTGCCTTACTGATGCCTAATAGCTTCTATTTTATTGTCAAACTGGAACTCTAGTCTGCAGTAGGCCTGCATGTACGTGACTGTGTATGTTTGTCTCCACCTAGAGGTTAAATCTGGAGGCTGGAGTTTTCTGTTCAAAGTTTAACCAGCAGTTTAGTCCTGGTTACATTTTTACAGACTGCTGTCAGAGCAAGAAACAGTTTAAAGAAGACATTCAACAATCAAAGTTAAAATTTCATAATCAAATTCATGTTTAAACTTAAAGGAAACACTTCTGCCTCTGCAGGGTAATTATGCAAACCTGTGCCTTCACAGTAATTTCACACCATGAATGCAGTAATTTAATTTATTAAATCTCTTTCTTTTCTCTTTTAGAAAGGTTTGCTGTTATTTCCTGATAGATTAAGAATTCCCACAGTTCATTCAAACGCAGACTTTGTGCTGGCGAAATTTTTTTTTAAGAAGTGTGTCTGAGTAAACCCAACAGGAACAGAAACGCTGTCCTGAAGAGAAAACAACCTAGTATATCTTTCTTTTCCTGGTTAGTGTTTCTGCAGCCACTTCAGCAGAGACTTTTTTACTATATGGAGAGCCAGGAGAGCCAAACTGAATGAATTAATATTAAGACGCGTTTCCTTTATTTTGCATGAATCACAGGAACCCACCTCTGTCCTCTGTACAGTCATCAACACATTTTGACAGCATAACATCACCTTCAGTTTGCAGTCATATGTTCAAATGTTTTAGATAAAATATATCAATCACTCCTACTTTACATAAATATTTAAATTAGGTGAAATTTAACTTTGGAGAATAGACTGCCTGCATTGCAACTCATCCTTCTTACCTCCGTAGACCCCATATTAAAACGTTTAATTTGACAGCAAAAACAAACTTGTTTGCAAAAAGGTTTTGGCCTCTATGGATATTTCCCCGCTTTATGACAACTGAAAAGGTTAGCCATCGAGCATAGTGTGGTTTATCCTCCTCCATAACTCACAAAATGAGCTTTGTTTTCACTCAGTATGACTTGAAATGAATAATTGTGCCCATAAAATCACCAGAAAAATGTTGAGCAAGTCATCTGAGGGCTCCATTGGAACCAGGAGCCAATGGAGCGTTCACCACAGCACGTAGCTCAGGTAGCTCCACATTTAAAAAACAAAACAAAAAAACCCACCAAACACCCTTCCTGGAGAAAAAAATCTCAAGGGATTTGCATCCCTTCTCTGGATCTCCTGCTTGTTAAACACTAGTAGTGTGCACCACCACACTGTGAGCCATGTGGACAAAAACAAAGCTGACCAGATTTGGGCGCCATCTGAGGCCTGAACTTTCACAGGGATTGCATCATTATTACAAACTTGTTTAATGCAAAGATCCACCACTGTAACACATGAGAAAATAAAAAGCCTCTCCAACAGCTGTTGGATCAAATCATGTTTATTAATGTGTTCAGGAAATCCCCACAGAAACAGTTTATAGGGGAACTTACAGATTTACAATCATTCTTGACAGAAGTGCCAGCTCTAACCCCCATGGTTCAACACTGAGGACGACCAGCTAACTGCACACCCATTCCCCTCAACAGGTCTACCACCAAGTCCTTCCAGCTCGCCGACGAGCCTCCGACAGAGTACTTACTGTGTTGGTCTTTTCTGCCTGTAAACACCCAGACGTCTGGACCGTTCACAGTTATAGAGAGCCTTCATTATTTTATTTTTTATCATGGTTTTTTTTTTTTTTTTTTGGTGCCAATCCTTCATCCCGACCAGGAAGAAAAAAAAAGATCGCACACAGCTGGATGCTTTCAGACTTTCAAAATAAAAGTGCCAACCGTTGGTGAGAAGAAAAAAAACTCGTCTGAGGCCCTCGAGGATGCACTTTCTACTTCCATATACAGGATTTGTCATACTGCTCAAATGCATTTGGTTCAGCAGTCAAAGTACAAATAGAAATGCTAAAACTAGTTACAGAAAAAAAAACATGTAACATCTCTTTAAAGGAATAACATGTGACGCCTGTGAATGTATTAGGACACCTGCCTCAGTCTGAAGTGTGCGAAATGTCCAACACCTTGTATCTGGCATGGAAACACTGAAGGTCATCTCCAAAAAAAGAAAAAAAAAGAAAAAGGAAAATCCTAATTTAATCCCAGGATTTAAACGCCAGCAACCCAAAGTCAAGAATTGCATATTCTCGTAGAGTTTAATTTTTTAATTTTTTCTTCTTTTGTGCTTCACGCTCTCACTTAGTGGTGGGAGGGGAGAAAGGTAGTGTTCACTGGAGAACCATTGCTAAGAATAATCTTTTATATTCCAATATAATAATAATATTAATAAAACAAACAGCATGATTTTCAGATGACACCAGAATGATCAAGGATGGGATTTTCTCTTTTCTTACTTTTTTTTTTTTTAATTTTCCATTTTTTGTTTTTTTTTCCATTTGCTTCGACCTGATACAGGTTAAGATGCAATTTACTGAATCTCTTGGTGGGTTTGAGGTCTCAAAAATCAGATTAAAATGAACACCTAAGCACTGAAGGTGGGAGGGAGGGGGGCATTTCTAGTCAACATAGATATATTCTACAGGGAGGAGTGGGGGGTTGCACCCTTGCTCTTTCTTTGCCGTATGAAAACCGTGCTTCCTCTGAAGAGTAAGGGCAGGGCAGAACAGGGTCAAGGTGGGGGGGCCGTGCAAGACAGATTAGGCGAGGAGGGGGGTAGGCCGAGCAGGGCAGAGACTGAGTTTGGTGGATGGAGAGAGAGAGAGAGAGAGAGGGGCTTGAAAACCAGACTGCTGATTCCACAGGAGGTGTGTAAAAGGCACGCCAGGGTTACTCCCGATCCCAGCCAGCATACACAGAGACGCCTTCACACCCACACATCCACACAGGCATACACACCCACAGCCACACGCACACACACAAGCAGCACAGGCTAGAGCCCCAAGAGTACGGACGAGGAGGAAGAGAAAGCAGGAGGAAGGCGTTGAAAGAAAGAGCCGGGGCAGAGGAGTTAGAGGGGCGCAGAGGGGGGCCTGGATCCGGTGCTGCCGCTGTGTCGAAACAGAAAAAAAAATAAACAACAAACAAACAAACGAAAAAATAATAATTCAAAACTGCTGGAATGGATCATTTCTGGTTCTTCAGCTGGTTGGAGAGCCAGTCGAGGCCCTCATACAAGCCGTCTCCGCTGGTGGCACAGGTGGCCTGGATGTACCAGCTGCGCTGGCGGAGGGCGTGCAGGCCCAGCTTGTCTGTGATCTCTGCAGCGTTCATGGCGTTGGGGAGATCCTAGAGGGAGAGGAAAAAGCCAGTTATGATGCAGTTCTAACCATTTTTAACCATCTGAACCAAAAATCCCACAAGCTTTCATCAACAGTAGAAAAGCTTCTGAACAGTTCAGCCAATGTGAAAGTGCCTTAATCGTGCACTCTCTTTAATGGCCACTAGGGGGCTACAGCTGTGGCTGAGGGGAGGACAAAAAAAAACTTCCAGTCCAATACAAGTGTTCAGGGATCGGCTCTCAGTAAAACTTTCCTGCT